TCGCACATCTGCTACTTGTAAACATACCGCAGATATTTTTGTTGACAATTGTACTGATTTTTATTACCAAATCGTTTATTTGTGTCAATTTGTTCGCCACCACTAATGCTAAGAGAGCACCAGTACTCCAGTACCAGTAACTCTCCATATATCAGGCACTTAATCAGTCTATCCCTGCAATTGCTATTACTTTATACTATATGTAACAAACTTTTCCCTAATTGACTGAATATTAATTTATATAAATTCTGATTTTTAATTGATATCTGCATTCATGACAGCATTTGTTGTTTAGATAAACAGATGAACACTATATTCGTTGATAACAACCAATAGCTATAAGTCCTACAAATAAAACAACATATCGTTAATCATATATTTATGACGAGAGACAGACTCCTTGAAGAATATATCTTATATATACTATACATAACACACATATTCTGTACTTTTACTTAAACTCATATTTCCATTGGAAGAGAAAATGTTTTTATTTATTTTAAATCTATTGCCCAACAAATTTTGCTCTGACAACAGATTGTCCGCAAATGACGTGAATTCAGCCCAAAATGAATTACAATTTCATTCATTCATACCATCGAAACCACAGCCACAGCAAGCGGTCAGACAATCGGATCCCAACAACAGTTCCGTCTATTCTTCGGCCTCTTTCGAGCGCAACACCGACGACGAGGAGGACGTGCTGTTGGGCGGCGAGAGTCAGCCCAAGGGGTCGTCGGCCGGCTTCTGGCAAATGGAGTTCTTCGGCCAATACTTCGATGTGACCACTGATCAGGTGTTGTCGCGCATACTCTGGTCATCGATTCCCGTTTACGGCTCCAAAAAAGGCAATTATCTCGACCGACACATTCATCTGACGCCCGATCTCTACGGCCCGCTCTGGATATCGACCACTTTGGTGTTCGCGACCGCCATCTGCGGCAATATTGCCAATTATGTCAAAGCGATGGCCACTATTAGTCCCAACAGTACGACCGATGATGAATGGCATTACGATTACGCAAAAGTATAAACAGTCTATCATTTACTTTGTTTTGCATACAATTTAACTGAGATATTGAATGTTACTAATGGATGGATAGGTAGGTCTGGCGGCGTCCACGATATTCACGTACGTAATGGCGGTTCCGGTGTGTCTTTGGTTCCTCTTCTGGTTCAGAGGCTGTTCTGCCAATTACTCCCTTTTGGAGACGATCTGTGTTTACGGCTATTCGCTGTCAATCTATGTCCCGATATCCATATTATGGGTGATTAACATACGATTCATACAATTAATACTGCTCTCAATCGGAGCCATACTGTCGGGCAGTGTTCTGGTGCTGGTGTTCGCGCCTGTGGTCCACAGCGATCCCTCCAAGACTATCAAATCATCATATCTTATACTGATTATCATTATATTGATGCACGCATTCCTCGCCTTTGCTTTTCTTGAATACTTTTTCTGATTTTTAACCAATTTATTAATTGTTATTTTATTTCTATATAATTGGGTCAAAATGACAAACACTTGTATTGAATTTGTGATCATTTTATGCTAAAAGACTAAACTTTTCGGTTTATTATATTTATATAATTATTATTATGTTATTACCTTTTGAACGAATTATTTAATTAATTTATTGTAATAAATACTTTTAATATATTTAAAATCATCTGCTTTATAAAAGATATATAAGAAATATAGCAACTTTTTACCCTAACTAAACATTTCTCTAGATAATTTACCAATTTTACAATAATTATTATTATAGAGACCAAAGAGTACTAGTGATGGTCTTTACAATCGTAAGTACTGTATATTCTGTAGTCTTAAAATTCAACACTTATTAAGTTTATGGTTTTAATTAAAAATGTTGATTTAAATTAAATTAATTATAAAGTGAATCTAGTAGTAAATTAATTGACAGATACTTGTAAGAACATTAGTTCTTGTAAACACTTTGCAATTAACGAAATATAATTCATTTACTGTATTTATTTTAATATAGGTGAGTTGTGACAACAAATTCCGGATATTTATTTAATCTATTGTTATAAAACTATTTACTCTTCTATAATTTAATTTAAACTTTTCTCTAATTTAGATGAGGTATTTATTATTTGAGTAACATATTGTAACAGTAGTTAATACATTAAAACGACCGTAATCTACTAATATGCTAAAAATTACTACTGGTATTAGAAATTAATATAATATTAAATGTTTAAACATCATAGCGTTGTCCAATTGAATTGCTTAAATATTTTAATTCAAAGATTGAGACCATTTTTATGAAAACTTTTACATTATATAAAATTGTTTATAAGTATTGATATTTTTTTTTATAACTTTACTATTTTTGTCATCAAACAGTCCTCAATGAACAAAAAAATAATTACTAAATTTGATGTTATTATACTTGGAGTGCAAACAAATAACAAACAATTTCACTCGATCTCAAAATATGAAAATATATTTTTGTCTATTTGTCGTTTACAAAGAAGAATGACAGACCGATACCTCCCACTCCACGCCATATGACATATCCTTAAACTATAGCACAGTTGGGCTCATAAGTGATATATTAGGTGTGGGGCAGAGGTCTTAGTGTGAGGGGTGGGGGACAACGGGCTTAAGACTTATCACAAACTAATGAGTTTTTACGTTTTTAAACTCAAAATAATGTTTACCCGAATGTCAAACATATTATTGGAACCAAATATACATATTTCCACTTGTTTAGTAGTTAACTAACTAATTAATTAATAAAGATTTAGATTGGTGTTTAAGAAATGATTTAAGAAACATTCACTTTGAATAAAAATAAAGATGAACTAATTAATATATAATTAGGATTAATCTCATATTACATATTATTTTGCATCAAGATGAGATAAGTAAGTAATACAAAATGTATGTATTATTGAATATTAATTGACTTCAAATTAATATGTGATATACTGTCTCTGAATGTGTGTTTCGATAATATAATCAATTATGTTATATAAAATTAAAACTAACTATCATATATTTATACAATTATTGATTTGTATGATTTGTAAGATACAGAACGGCCCCGGTTTTAACACACGCGATTTTAACAGATTTCGATTTTAACACAAGGTTCTGTTAGCACGGACGAGTCTTATGCATACTATAATGTTAATGCGTTCGATTTTAACAGATTATTTTAACAGATAAGTTAAAATTGTGAAACGAATGATTTTGTTGAAATAAACATATATAACAATAAAAAAACAATAAAATATACTTTTATTTCTGATCATTCGAATCTTCTCAAATTGATATCTTTGTTTTGATGTTTTGTAATTTAATTTATTGTTTTTACAATAAAGTTACGTATATATCGGTAAAGGCTAAAATTGTCTTGAGCTAAAATTGTGTATAAAAACTGTCGTGGTTACTGTACAATTTTGGCCCCGGCAAGACATAATTGTATAAAACTAATGACACTTTATATTTATTATAAAGAAAATGGCAAAATGTTATTTTTACATTAAAAAGTGTTTAGCTAACAAAATTTGTACTTAAATCTTCTTTCTCTCCGTTATTTATAAACATAACAAAGACTTTTATGTGTTTCTTAACCTTTTAGTTTAATGTACAGCTTTCTCTAGAGAAAGTAGAAAAAGAGTACAAAAGTATTATTGAAAGTGAAATTCCAAGTGTTTGTGTGCTATAGATATGTTAACACACATTCATGTAATCATATGAGGGATTATTTAAGCGGAAAATAATATTTCCATCGCTTGAACGCTACAGAAATGTCATTTTCCAATGATTTCAGTCTCTCTTCAAACTTTTGCCAATCATTGCCGGGACTGAAGTGTTTGCCAAATAATTCCTATATATCTATACAGTATATACAGTATATATAAAGTCATAGGAATTATGATGACATGAATTGTGATACCGATTCCTACACTAATAATATGTGATTGAATCAAATGAAGGCCTGCACTTGTGTTGTGCACATCTGTAGATAACATAGATCTCAAATGGCGTGAAGACAATGATATTATTATAGAATATAATTGCGATTCTTGTGAGTGAGAAGACAATACCACACCATTTGTTGTGTCATATTATGGATGATTTACTCACTAGTGATTGCTCTCCAACGCGAATAATACAATAACATTACCTCCTTTTCCCTTTCGGCTCTAATTGCAAATTTGTGTCAATTATGTAATCATTTATGCATTCATTCATACGCTTCACTCATTTATTACATTTTATTTGATTAGTGTTTGATTTTAAAATTTGATTTCTCCTATGAATGTGTTGTAGTAGTGATACAGATATGAATACTCAACACATTTAGACATTGTTTGGCACAATAATTAATGCCGTCTTTAATGATGGTTAATTATCTGAATTACAAATTAATTATATAAACAAAGTTTATAAACATTACAAATGATTAGGCATTAAATCAAATGCTTTTAAATATTAAATTACATAATCAAAAACACTGTTCATTCGCTATACAAATATAGTTTCGCAAAATTTGTTGGGCAATAGATTTAAAATAAATAAAAACATTTTCTCTTCCAATGGAAATATGAGTTTAAGTAAAAGTACAGAATATGTGTGTTATGTATAGTATATATAAGATATATTCTTCAAGAAGTCTGTCTCTCGTCATAAATATATGATTAACGATATGTTGTTTTATTTGTAGGCCTTATAGCTATTGGTTGTTATCAACGAATATAGTGTTCATCTGTTTATCTAAACAACAAATGCTGTCATGAATGCAGATATCAATTAAAAATCAGAATTCATATAAAGTAATATTCAGTCAATTAGGGAAAAGTTTGTTACATATAGTATAAAGTAATAGCAATTGCAGGGATAGACTGATTAAGTGCCTGGTATATGGAGAGTATATACCAGTTACTGGTACTGAAGTACTGGTGCTCTCTTAGCATTAGTGGTGGCGAACAAATTGACACAAATAAACGATTTGGTAATAAAAATCAGTACAATTGTCAACAAAAATATCTGCGGTATGTTTACAAGTAGCAGATGTGCGATACGGATGAATATTTGCTTAGCGGCGCATCAATCTATTCCCAATGCCATCCAAACCCATCCAAACACATCCAAAGCCATCCCTTCCCATCCCAACGCCTCCAACGACTAATTTCTTCACTTTTTTGGTGTAAAATGCAGTGAACAGTGTTAGGTCTCTCTCTCTCTCTCTCTCTCTCTCTCTCTCTCCGTTTACTCACTCACTCATTCATTCACTCCTCTTCTCTATTTTGATTAGTTTCCACTGAATATTCATGTCTTGTTAGCCAACTATTCTCAAACAGTTATTATATGAATCCACTCATAAATCTTTCAATTGGTGTAAATACACCATAAAATACCGTACAATTTAGACTATCATATGAATGTCACTTTCACTCCCGTGCGCCTCATATGCCTTCTTAAACATGTAATTAAATCTCAAAAGTAATACTAATTCACAATAATTGCCAGTAAATCACTTAAGAATTAGTTTAGATCTCAAATCATATTAAATTTGTTTAACTTTTTTTTGTTATCAATTATTATACAGAATAATGTGTATAAAGAGTAACGGGAATAAGGAATTCGAGAGATAAACATAATAAAAGTGGAAATTTTATTTAATAAAAATATTTTATAACACAGACTCAGGGAATTGTAATAACAGGTACTATATATTGTGTTAAATAAATATGAATGCAAATAAATGTGATTACAATGAATGAAGTGATAAAAATAGGGGAAATTTTGGGTGTAATATACAAATACCAGAGACTAGAGATCCCCCGAAACGCATCAATGCGTGAATTATTGCCCAAATTATTGAAACTTTAATCTAAGGCCTGTAATGAGGGAATTGAATGCCGGCTCACGAAACATATCTATTCCCCGACTTTTTAACAGCCCTTCGATACGGAATACTTTTATAAAAATGGTTTTAAAACATTTAAAACAATCTAGAATCTATATTCTAGATATTAAATTTGTTGATATTTTATACTTTTTTATTACAAAATTATAAATACCTTAATTATAACTTCTTTCCCATATTTTCATTTTACTTAAAATTATAAATAGAATGGTATTTATAAATGATTTCAATAAATTCTAAAACGAGAGTAAATGTATTGAAATGAATGACTGAATAGATTATTATTGACTATTGAGTGGAGGTTTTCCTCCGTTCAGTAATCATTTAAGTGCTTAAACACAATAGATTTGATGGGTCTCTCTCTCTCTCTCTCTCTCTCTCTCTCTCTCTCTCTCTCTNNTCTCTCTCTCTCTCTCTCTCTCTCTCTCTCTCTCTCTCTCTAATTGTTTAAACTTCTGATATATACAGTGATATGAATGGCTTGTTTGCAAGCATTTAATTATAGGAAATATGGCCACAAAAGAGAGATAATAAGAAAGTTGGAGCGAAAATTCAAATGACTTTTTATCATTGATAACGAGATTCACTTTTGTCACCAATTGATGACATGACGGCAAACATTAACAGTTGTGTTCAGTTTGTGACCAAATATGTGTT